CCTAGTTAATTTACAGATTTATAGATTATCTAATTTGATTGTACCATATACTTTGTGACTGTACAGTTAGTCAGAATGATAAAAGATATAGAACTAGAAGAATAATGCTATACAACTAAGTCACTTGATGACTGCTAGCACTACTACATACATGCATGTATATTAACTAACTCTGAAAGCCAAAGATGCAGACATCATTCTGGGTTGAATTTGACCTTTGAATAAATATTCCATAATTATATACTACCAATAGAGGACTTGATAGATGAACGAAGGTGAAAAGTAGCATGTCAATGTCTTCCAGTTCACTGTACTTTGTGCTCTGGGTGCCAACCTTCAGCAAATAATGTCACAGTGTTGAATATTCCATGCACATTCTATTATAAATCAGTTGGGCCAGCGCATTAGTGAGTTAATCAAAGTGTATTTCGTACATCATTACCTTTAATGTGTTTTTGTGGATACATCGGGGTGATGTCCTTGCAACATTTGTGATGTTGTGAAAGATTCGATATTAAAAAAAAAATTAGAATCAAATATTCTGTTCCTGTGTGGTAAAAAAAAATTCAGAATTTTTCAATTACATCCCTTATTGAAGAAATGTCAATCAGTCTACATACATGTATGTTGATTCTCCACATTTACATGTACTCAAAAAAAATTGCTGACAAAACCGGAATTTTCAGCAAAAGATTATTATAAGGACTGAAATATACTTCAAATAATGGATGACACCATTTTGTTATCCATGATGTACTACTTAACTGCAGTAGAGGTCAATCCCAGACGTAATTAGCATGAGGCAGGCATTGCGTCCTTGGCTGTTTGACCCTGGCGGCACCTGATCGGCTGTGTTATTGAGAGCGCTTCAGTTACTTGACACCGCCATCCCTCACTGCCAAGGTTACCCACAGAGGACATGAGTGACGTGAAGCCCAGACTGTAATCAGGGGGTTAGGCGGGTTAAGAAGATCACTTGGAGCATTGGAAATTGCTTATTCTCTGCCAGGGACAGGCAAAGGTGAAAGAAGGATATGGGATGATTAGCATTTTGGCAGCTTTTCAATAGTTCCAGGAAAATGGATTAGTAAGCAGTCAACCCAAAGGTCATTAAGCTCCGCCCACCGAGTCTCTGTGCTATTGCAAAATGTCTGGTGCCATCTGATGCTTAAATAGTGAGGTTAGTCGAGTTTAATGGCTCGCTTTTAGCAGTGCAGCCACATCAGATCATGATCCCAAACTGAGCCACCCCCTAGGAGGGGGGAAGCACATGAGGAACGAAAGGATTGCATTATAGGCTGCACCCCCCTGGCACTACCTTTATTATGTTCACCTTTTTAACTATGAGTTCTTATCCTCGCTGTACACCATGTATGCAAATAAGGAACTTTAGCGCACACGCACAACTAGCCCCTACATAACCTTGAACTTTCAAGGCCAGTGCTCTGCGCATTGCTGCCCCAGTCAAGTGCAGTTATCGATAGCCTACTAGACTTAGATAAGCAGGGCGGCAGCAGTGGCGGGCACGGATAGGCAGCCGTGTTGCCAAGACGGTAGGCGTGTTGTCGAAGCAAGATACGTCACCATATTGCTCCCGAGCACGTTTTTGTCTGGATTCGACTCCCCTTCCACGTATGTGAACAGGTGAGTTAATCGCGCTATATTTAGGGCTGAGTTTAGTTAGACGTAGTGTCAGAATGTGCAAACTGGTAGATCAGGCTACGACGACAAGCAGTGCCCAGGCTGTGCAGTAGCTAGACAGGTGTTGCCTCGTCGCTGTAGCAGGAAACGGCGCACATCGAACTTGTGGTAAACGGCGCCATTTCGAAACCTACAGGATCATGTAGGTGTCGTTTTTGTTTTACCTTCCATCTCAGCACAAATTGTGTTTACTGTAACGTCGTGTTTTTGTATGCCTCGTTCGTGCAGACGTTTATTGACTGTGGATAAAACGCAGAGTCATAAAGTCACAAGGTCAAGGTGAAAGAATAAATATGACCTCTGGACATGTCTCGCCTAAGTAGTGTATCTATCAGAGGGTGTGTATAGAGAAGATTCAGCTACCAGGTATTCATATTGTACACCGAGGCACCTGTAGAGTGTCAAAGGTTGAACTTATGAATCCGTGTTGTAATTCCAGGATATAGGTAGGTGTAGTTGGCAGCTTCCCCATTTGAAATGAACATCGCCCTCTCGTAAATATCCTGTTGGTAAACTGTCAACACAGCACGACGCCATATAGAATATTCGCTGAAGAATAAGCCGCCAGACTTTCTGAAATTAAGAAAGGTACCAACATTTTTTTAATCCAAGCTCAGCAGAATTCAGGCCATGGAATATTTTAAGCTATAACATATATGTGTAACCATACATGTACCATGGCAGATTATGATCAGCTGTTCATGCACTTATTGACAGTTTTAGATAAGAGTACATTTTATTTTATTTTATTTTATTTTGTTGCATTGATAAGAATGGTTGGCAGTGATAGGGTATGTATAACTGCGCACACAACTGTTGCTTGGTGAGCCGGCCAAACAACTTACTGGGAAAAATTATGGGATTTATCACAGTTCAGAGGGATTGTAGGCTTAAATTGTTCAGTTCAGACGGCAACGTGTGGTGCTATTTGTTACAAAAAACAGTAATCATGTGAGATTTCCTCTGCACTGATAACATTTCATTATCCAGGACCATGTAGAGGGGTAAAGATAGTATACCAGGGATCGAAATACCAAATATTTCTACAGCATGTGATTCATAATTCTGGGTCAATATTCTTTCAGTTAATGCCAATTGCAAGTTGTTTAGTAAATTTTTTTTCTGCAGTCTTACATTTTTTTGGCAGGACTGGTCTACTTTAAGTCTTGCTCAGTTCATATGTGATGCAGCCATCAAGCAAGTTAAATTTATATTCATAGTGCATTTTCTTAGGGACAACATATTATGTGTGAATAAGGGCTATACTATACATGATCAAGTGTAAAATGTATGATAATTCCTTCTGTTGTTTAGATGTGAGCTGTCAGGTAATAATGCAAATTAGGACAGCATTTAATTTACATAATCAAGAAGATGGAATGGTCAACTTACTGATAATATATATATTGTAATAAACTTTGTGGACTAGTGCTTCCAATTAACATGCAGGTGTGACAGTGACAGTAGAGTAAATATAGTTGAATGCCACACACACATTTTGTCACTAACGTCTCCTTGAATGAGATATTCTAATTTGTGATGGAAACAACAAGGAGAAAACAAACAACATTTTTTGTCTGTGTTGGTCAGCCAGACACAACACAAGGTCACTTTTCTGATTACTTATCCCCCCCCCTTCTCAAGGTTATCTTGTTTTCTGAATTCCTTCTATAGACGGGGTTGTTAGAGCATGAAGCAGACAAATGACTTTGTCCTTGAGAATGGCTGTTGTTGATGTGGCTTGCCTCGGGTAACCTGTAGAACGATTACGCCCAAAAAAGAAAGGAAGGCCTCCTCCAGACACGCACAGCACATTACCCCCAGGCTATAGCATTGAATCCCCAGACAAAACAAGCAGTTGGGATTATCAACATCCTGCTTCAGCTTTGTAATATCCAACATTTACCAAAATACAACTGCCACTTTTACTGATTGCTGAGAACCTCCAAATTTTGTTAAACTTCACAGTTTCATTTTTGATGCGATGTTCATATTCTTAAAACTTAAAATAAGTTGTAAAACTTGGAAAGAAAGTGTTTGGAAAGTTTCTCCCTAACATCATGGGTACGCTGCATTTCAGTAAACATGTACAGTATTTCATAAGAAGTTACCAAATTAAAATATTTAAATTGCCATTTGTCCTAGGTTTTTTCGGGCTTAGGTACATCCAACAAGAAAGTTAATGTTAGCCAAGATAGGACAGGGTGGAAACTCAAGCTGTGAGCTATCTTATACAATATATTTAGTGTTGGACACGACCAGCAAATTGAGTTTGCAAGTCACCCTGATGTCTATTGGACTTTTGGTTTTAGTTTATAGTGCACACACAAAAGCTTGAGTATGGGTGGGTCTAGGTTGTTAAGGGGTTTGGTAAGAATACGGATATTTACACATGGGGCTCGTTGTTTGTTATGTGCATGACGTAACATTTTTCCTGTTAAACTACACATTCAAGTCATTTCTAAACTTAGATTTGCTTGTACCATAGAGAGCACAATCAGTGTTCACAGTGTGTTAATAAACTTTGTGTTACCGCAATATTCGGGTGATTTGGGAATTAAGTTGTTCCATTGTGCCATATCCTTTACATGGTCTTTGTGTTTACATGCTTACATTCTGTAGGTGATGGTATAACTAATCATATATCCATATTTCAACTTGTTTGTTAGCGATTGTGTTTTCATGTGCAGCTCCCATGGAGATCTGTTTGAAGAGGAATATACATGTACAGCATGTCAACAAACCACATCCTTCCTCAGAAAGAACCTGTATTTTCTGATAGGATAGAAACAAACATTTCCAAAGAGGTGTTTATTTTTAATTTTCATAAATGTCCATCATTTCCAAAAGAAAAAGTGATAACAGAAACAATTGACTGCTGTGCGGAAGGTGATAAACCAACCGAAGTACTCAGTAGATTAGACAATGGGGCGACAAAATTGTACAATAATTGGGGAGGAATAATCTTTGCCCTAGCCTCCCACTGACAAAAGGTGGTGAGGATAGCATTAAGTAGTCTGCTCTTGACAGGTGCATATGTAGAGACATCATGTTGTATACTAATGAGGGAAGGCAAGCTGTGATATCCTAGCTGTCACGTTGTCTTGTCTGATTTCTGCCAGGGTGTGCAGTAGTTAGCATATGGCACACGCTGTCCCAGTGAGCTCTGTTGAAGGAAGGACATGTCATGTCTCCATATTAAACTTTGTAGTGTGCCGGGAGGTAACCTTGCTTTCTTCTCTCTGTGTTGCTGCAGCTTCAGAGATCAGCCAGTGATCGACAGACAGCAACCTACATGAAGATGGCCTATTCCAAGAAGGACCTGTGCTGCCAGTGTGTCCCGACAAAAGCCACCAACACGATGCTCTACTCCCTCCTCATGGACCCGCAGCGAAGACCCAGTTCCACAGGATCCTCGTGTTGCCACAGCAACACAGAAAGTGAGACTGATCCCCAGCAGGGCGTTTTGGACCTTTCCATGCGAAATTCGCAAAAGCACAGATCAGAGGAGGACAGTAGTGAGAAACCAGTGACAGTATTACACAGACTCGCCCCCGAGCACTACGCCATGATACACCACGCAGCGTCGCAGGTTTTGATCCAGACCATCGACTTCATGAGGAAGTTGCCGGCGTTCACGTACCTTCCACCCAATGACCAGATGCTGCTACTGATGCGAAGCTGGCACGAGATCGTCGCCATCGGCGTGGCGCAGGAGAAGGTTCCGATCGACACAGTTTCCGTACCGGCGCCGCCGTGCGAGTGTTGCACAGGTGCAGAGATGCACTGGGGAGGCACACCACCACCCGCCCTAACGATGCCTGGGTGCATCCTGAGTTCGGACTTGGATGATATACAACAGTTCGTTATGAAGTACCAGTCGTTGGACTTAGACTGTAAAGAAGCAGCATATCTGAAAGCAGCTGTCCTTTTCACCCCAGGTAAGGAAATACATTGTATTATATTTTGTCTTAACCCATGATATCTGACCGGTGCCATGGCCAAGTGAGTGCTCGCCTTGCATTCGGTCTACCTGTTGTGAGGTCGATCCCCAGTCGAGTCACATCAAAGACTTTAAAAATGGTACATACTGCTTTCTCTGCTTAGCATTCAGCATTTGGGAAAGAGTATGGGAGTTAAACACGCACCACTGCCAGTGGACTAGCCCCCTGCTGTAGTGATTGCACTGCTGTGTGGCCCAAGGGCTATGGAGATAGATGCCACCATATGCGACCATGTTAATGGTTGCGGAAGGCCTTTAAGTCTAACTAATTAAGTATGTACTATTACATATCGCAAAACAGCTGCATTTGAAACTATTTAAGCCCCGGTGTGGGATGTTATCTTCAATTTGCCTTACTTGTGGTTAGGGGTCACATTTTGGCTAACCGAAATGCCTGCAAGGTCAACCTACATGCGGTCAGGGCGGCAGTTGACATTGATTCCTGTTTGCCACGCCCCAGCGCTATCAGACCCTACCAAAATAAGGTCAAGGACTTCCCCTACTTCCTGCTAAGATGTGGCAGGCCTGGCCGGGTTCACCAGTTCACCCCAGAATAGAACTGCTATGGCACCATGACACAAACACTGAGTGCTAAACAATGGGACTTTATCAAGACTTGCAGCTGTCACACTCTGTCTGACTACATTGTATGTAGGGGTAGGGTTTGTTACACAGTTTGAAGTACTTCCATATGGTAATCACTTGTAAAGCTCTTAGGGCCAACCTGTGTAAAGCAACTACTAGGCTGTTTCATGTTAACTCGTTGGCAGCATTATCTTCCTCACCACGACGGTTATGTTTTTGGTAGTATTGTACAGGTACATGTATATGTATGGCTGTATGTTGGTGGTTCAGGTAGCATAACTCAAGAAGTTATAAATGGATTGCCAGTGAAATTTAGTTTGTAGTTTAAAGTCTTGTCCTATCTGAAGAAATTATTAGATTTTTGGCCCCCCTAGCAGCTTTTCTTGGTACTGCAGCTGTACCTTTGGTATGATTTCCAATGTTTTGTTCTGGACAAGCTATGATTTTGGGGTCACCATCGTAGATACTAATTTATTATAAGCTCTTGTGAGCATTTTAGTCATATATTATGTATAATTATAATAATATTGCTTGGCAAAAGTATGGCGTTGCCAAATTCTGGTGGACTCTGGTTATTCAATGCCGGTTTCATTTCCAGTAACATCTCCTAGATAATAACAGGAAAAATGTAGGTTTGGGTAAACCTTTTGTTTTACAAATATTTCATCTCCGTTTGTACATCTATGGCTGGAAGAAAACCAAATATACCGGTATTGGCCTGGGACGACCATGTAGAAACGACTTAACACCCAAATGTACTTCATCTTGTTCAACAGACTTCTTCTTATGATTGATGAAGGAAGTATTTTTGTACATTGCTAAGCCCTCAGGCTGGTAATATGTCTCAATGATGGGCTACTGATCATGATACTGTCTAGAAACTAATTTGAAATAAAGTTCAAACTTCTTTGCTGATCGATGCTCCCCGACCTACCACAGGATACATTGGGATGAACTTGTTTTATTCCCATTTTAAGCATGGAATTGCAACATAATATAACCTCGTGGGCTTACATGTATTACTAATAGAATTATAATAGCTCCGAACCTCTTGCCATGTACAGCACATAAAGCATTGCTCTCGTGAGGACCCGCTCAGTTATTCACTGGGTCGCGGCAATCCATCTCTGCAGCAAGGTCCCATCTGGGGAAAAGCAGATGGCATTTTATTGATTGAAATTAGCTTCCAAGTTCAAGGACATGCTTGCATTATATATCAGGTTCTCCCCATATTACGGGCCCAGTGCACCTGCAGTGTAACTAAAAGGGAGCAATAAACTTCGCCGAGATAGATTTTCCCGTTAAGGCCATTATGGTGTCTCTGAGTGACGTCCCAGAACTGATTAACACTCAGATCAGATTCTCTCTTATAAGCACTTGGACATGAACCCGAGATGCGTGTGTGTTATCCTTGTATAATTTCCAACAGGAATTCCTTGCTGTCAGTTTGAGTTGTAAAGGGTGGGGGCAAATATAGGCAAGCTGGTGCTCCATGTACCAATGTCAAGGGGAAAAGATATGACATGATGATAAAACTTTCATGAGGCCTACACATGACTGCACATCCAGACTGATACATTGTGCCTTAGGTCAGCAAAGTTCCAGCTGATACACAGCAGAAGTGACAGGATGCCAAGGGAGTATTATCAGTCTAATCAAAATGCCACTTTGAGTGGGGTGGTTAAATTTTCATGAGCTATAAGCTCTTCTTGTATGGATAGCATGTCATTAGCAGAAAAGTCTGGTCGTCACCCAAAAGGTAGATTAAATTTCTTTAAAAATGATTTACTGTGATGATAAAGCAAGATTTTATGTAAACCTTAGCGCAGGTATATTGGCAATAACTTTCTCTATTCAGTGATAAAATGAAGTCCTGTAAAATTTCTGATAGTATAAATCAATATGTCTAAGTTTCTAAAAATATAATTTTCAGGTCTTTTGTATTGAAAATCCATGCATATACATGTAGCTCTTGGAGAATTGTAACCATCCCCTAATGTACTGTTGTTATCATCCGTGTTGAATTTCTACTTTATACTGTGGACTTAAAAGCACTTCTGACAAAATAAAAATACAAAATGTCAGCGCTAAGTGAGGAATATATTATCATGCAGGGAGGGCTCTCAAGGCCAAACCTATCAAGGCTTCATCACCATTACCACTTCAACATGACCTTGACGAGACATTTCTTTGCAGTAAAAGCCTCACATTTGGGATAACCTTGCCAGGATCAATGGCTGGCTTTCACATCCCTTTGAATGTCACTAGACACAAATGTATGTATCTCCCATATCCAAGGTGGTGTACTTGGCCCAGAACTAGGGACAGGGCCGTACTATTATAGAAGCTTTTTAAGTTTTTATGTAAGGAGCTTTGAATTCATTATATATGTAGCATCCAAACCTTTGCAATTGGTGTCTGACCTTTGAACAGGCTAATAAAATACTAAGTAAGTTAGAGAAACAAACTTATGTATTGGATTTTGGGGCCCCTAGCATCTTGTTGTGGTACTGCAGTGGAAATTCTTGTTTTGATATCTTGTGATATTAACATGCTACGGTCACAAATTTTAGATTCTACCCTGGTAGATTAGCTCTTGTGCCCAGAAAAAAGTGATGTATATTTAGGCCCTGAAATAGCTTGTTCTGGAATGGCAGGGCTGTTGTTTTAGGGAGGATAACTGCAGAAGAATGGATTAACGGTTAATCATCTTTTTTGTATGTAAGGTAGGTTACATGATGCTTGGCATAATTAGATGATAATTATGCAAATCAGGATCTAATTTGCATAATGAATGAGCAAATTCTATAAATCTGCTGTGTTTCACAAAAGGACTATTCAAACTAGTGACATATGTAATTGAGAATGAGAGGAATATCAGCAGATATTGATTATGTAGATGGTGACCTAATTTGCATAATTAATGAGAAAATATCATTTCATGGAGGTAACTGCCAGGAATTTCATACTTATGGAAATCAAGTGAAGGTGAACATCATTAAACATAATTTATTCAAATCTAGACCTCATTTGCATAATCTATGAGGAAATGCTAGAATAGCTTTTTTTGCCAAGATAAGACTGCCATATTGAGTGGAGAATATGATCAACTGATATAATTCATGCAAATGAGGAACATTTACAATTTGTCAAATACAATGTAAAGGGCAATTGAAAAAAGACCAGATTAAAACAATGAATACATCTTTATGTGATACTGTACATAGTACTCTATCTGCACTGTTGAAAGTGACTGATTTGTCCATCTTTAGCATCTTGGCTGAGCCACCAGTAGGTGTATGAAACTTTCAATTTTAAAGGCTGTGCACTGCAGCTTGGTTTCCGCCTAGCTGTCTGTAAAGCTGCCGGTGCATCCATTGTGTGACTGTAGCACTAGTATCATTCAAATTTCAAACCAACATGAATACCAGTACTCTATTTCCTCCCTAGTCCTTACTATGATATCAAATCCCCATGAACTAGCTTACCGGTATATGCATTTACACTACACTACTTTTTCTCCCATGGTACTTAATTAATAAATCTGTGATGGTTTCAGGCTTATTAAGAACTAGAAAAATTTGATGTCCCTTTACTCTTGAAGCAAAAATACCACGTTGTTAATTGTAAAGAAGTCAATGTAACGAATGTTTGTGAGGTTTTTCCTCAGTAAAATGCAGCAGGCCTGAGCACAGCCTGATGACATGTTACATTCTGATCACATACTGTCTGCTTCACTTCTGGTTACCTCAGCGTGATTGGTTAGGCAAAAAGCTTAGGGGAAGATTTTTGCTCTGATATCACTGTGGATTTTTCAAGTTCAAAGTCGGAATAAATGCCAGGTAAGAGGCAATGTAGCCTCCAGCAGATAAAGACGACTTACAATTAGGCGTCGTTTGCCTATCTTCATCCCCAGGGGTGTGTTGGAGTCCCATATACCTCCAGGATGTGACAAATTGAGTTCTTATATCAGAAACTGAATGGGCAAAATCTGTTACTGATACTACGAAGATAATAAAGAAAGTTTTAAGTGAAGATTATATAACGATAAAAAACAGAAACATTTTGTTCATGGAGAGAGATAAAAACAACTGTTGAAAGCAAGAAAGCTGGAAGGGGTCCAAAACTTGAACACAACGACTATATATCATAGTACTTTTCCCTAACGCAAAACTGTAACAATAATTATCAAAATCGAGAAATTTCTGTAACTTTTTGTTAACCAAGCAATTGAGAACAAGAAGATAGCACTGAAAATATCCCTTGCATAGGTGCCAAACATGTAACCTAAATGATGTACATACCGCACATAATCTGTGCAGACTATGATTACAATTAGAAATTGCTTAAAGG